TGTTATAGCTGAGATGATAGGAGTGTGTCAAATCACCCAAATTCTTCCATTACGATGGAATCTCTTTGCCTTTTCTGTCCGGGTTGGCCCGGATCTGTGATCCTCCTGATCTCAGCCTCCTTCCACATAGGCCAGGATGGAGGTACCTGTCACTCTAGCCAGCTATGGATTGAGAAGGGATCTTGTAAACTTTTCTGCCTGGGCTGGCTTTAAACTGTGATTCTCCTGGTCTCAGCCTCCGTATGTCTAGAATTACAAGTGTGAGCCATTGGTATCCTGCTTAAGTCTTTTATGTCCTCTGATTTTTGTTATGAAAAGTGTAATGTGACTCTTTCAATAGACTTCAAAAAAAAAAAGCCAGAATGGAAGCAGTGGTTCAACTGGTAAAGTGCTAGCCCTGAGCAAAGGGAGTTCAGGAATGGCCCCCAGACCTTGAGTTCAAGCCCTGAGACCAGAAAAAAAAAGTATTTTGTAGTTAAAACTGCAGTCATCACAGGATAAAGTACAGTTAATAAGGAGAAAACAGTTGATAGACCACTTAGCTGGCTCAGGATGGGATAGGTAGAATCTCCTAAAAAGCTGTGATATTTTTAAAACAGTAATTGGGATGTATCCCACTTCATGTCTTGGCATATCACTGATGCTGAATGAATGACGTAGAGCTCCGACAGTCCCAGATTGGTAATGTAATCTCAAGACTGAGTTCAAGGCCATGTATTCCAGAAACCCTTCTCTTTCTAGACAGTCCAGTGAAACACCATTCTGTATGTGCCTGTGGGACTTCATTCTGAGCATGAAATGCATCATTCTTTGTGTATTGGTTTGTTCTTCCAGTAGGCCAGAGAACAGACATTCCACAACTGTCACCCTTCTCTTTAGCTCAGAAGGTAATTTGTTGAGAGGAACTAAAAGCAGAGAGTTGTGGCTTGTTTCTTTGCTTTACTCTTCCTCTTGCCTTTTTATGTCTTATTTGTTCTTTTTTCTTTTATACTACTTCCTCTTCTCAGCTCTTTTATTATGCTTTTGCATATGTCCAACTCTTCCTCCTCTTCTTCCTCTTTCTTGTATCCTGGGCTTCTGTGAGCTACTTATAGGGAACAGCATTTGATGTATTGCAAAAGGCTCAGAGAATAGAGTTCCAGGACTGCAATCTGGTGCCTTAGGCAAGAAGAGGAACAACATTGGGTAGAGTCATCCTGTTATTGTAACAGATGCTTGAGGTAACTAAGGAAGGGAACAGGTTTATTTTGGCTCTCACTTTTGGAGGTTTCAGTCCACCATCCTCGGTTGGCTCTGATGTTTTGAGTCTGATGTTTTGATGATGGAGCACTTCATGGTGGCAGTGGGTGGCAAAAGTGTTCGCCTCATGACTGGGACATAAAAGAAAGGCCTGGAGCCCCCAATATCTGAGGATGAACCTGCAGTGACTGGAAGATCTCACTAGGCGCCATTTCTTAAAAAAGTTTCACCCTCTCCCAGTGATGTACAATGATGTCATGGGCTGGGGTTCAAGCCTTTGTTTTTGGTGAAAATGGACACTGAGACTCATTGTACGCACAAAAGAGCTTCTGAGCAAGAAAATGCCCAAGATCAGTCATGACCCCAACTTTGGCAACTATCTGGACTTAAAAGGAACTTGGACCTACTTTGGTTGACTGAGTAGCAAAGGGTGGGTGTCCTGTGTCTGCCAGGCAGGAAGTGGTGTGGAGCTGATGGCGGTGTAAGGAGCAATGTCCAGGTAGGACTCACTGGATCATGGGAATGGCTTTTTCATGGAAAGCTGGGATTTAATGTCAGGACAATACCATGTAGCAGAAGATGGAGCCAAAGTTCTCTAGACACAGGTATGGGAAGCTTCTCAATGTGTCTGTGAGGGAGACTGGCCCTTCCAGAGACTGGACATAGCTCTGGCATTGCAGACTGTTGATCAAAAGGAAAACTTAAAAGAAATCCTAAATTTTGCTTTCCAACTATTTCAGTATTGAGAAAACACTTGTTAAAATTGAGGGGGAATGTCATTCCAAATGAAACAGTGCCATCACCAAAAGATAGCCAGCACTAGCATTTTGATGTTAAGTGAAAATATTAAGACTACATATATTTAAAAAAGACATTCAGCTACTATCTTTCTATCCTAGAACTCTAGTTTACAAGGTTCTGTTTTTTTGTTTTGTTTTGTGCTGGTCCTGAGACTTGAACTCAGTATCTGGGAAGAATCTCTTTTGTGCCCAAGGCTACTGCTCTACCACTTGAGCGCAACTCCAAAGGCTTTGTGGGGTTAATTGGAGATAAGAATCTCAAGGACTTTCCTGCCAGCATTGATTTTGAACTGTGATCCTCACTCAGATTTCAGTCTCCTGAGTAGTTTGGACTACAGGCATGTGCCACAAGCATCTGGCTTTCTTGAAACATTTTATCCCACAAATGGAAGCATGTTTAACATTTAAAAAAATTAATATAAGCTGGGCCCTGGTGGCTCACACCTGTAATCCTAGCTACCCAGGAGGCTGAGAACTGAGGATCACAGTTAAAAGCTAGCCCAGGCAGGAAAGTCCATGAGACTCTCATCTCTAATTAACCACTAGAAAACCAGAAGTGGTGCTGTGGTTCAAGTAGTAGAGCACTTGCCTTGAGCTGAACAGCTCAGGGACAGCACCCAGGCCTAGAGTTCAAGCCCCACAACTGACCACAAAAAAAATTAATATAAATCTTGGCTTCATTCCATGTAAATAGAAATCTTTTTTTTTTGGGTCCGGTTGGGGCCTCAACTCTGGGCCTGGGCGCTGTCCCTCAACTCTTCAGCTCAAGGCTAGCACTCTACCACTCTAGCCACAGCGCCACTCCCAGCTTTTCTTATGTGGTGCTGAGGAATCTAACCCAGGGCCTCAGGCATGCAAGGCAAGCGCTTCACTACTGAGCCACCTTCCCAGCCCCGTAAATAGAAAGCTTACACGTGTATTTTTAATCAAAGAATGTTTTATAATGTACCTACTCTCTACAGTCCTTTTGATATTTTGTTATTGTGAGAAACATTTTACTATGTTTTTGGAAAAATTACCCTTTCTTTCTGTAGCATTAGGGACCCATTTGTGTTTCCAGCCTTATTTCCTAGTACTTGAGGTGTGGCTGTATTTAGAGATATGGCCTTTAAAGAAGTGATTTTGTTTAAAATGAGATGGCTGGTATTGTCAGCACCAACTTAATGGTATCCTTATAGAAATAGGAGATGATGACAGACTTGCCAGGTGCACATAGAGAAAAGGCCACATGAGGACAGTGTGACAAGATGCCTTCTGTAAACCAGAGAGGTGGCCTCAGAGGATCAAGATTAAGAGGCCTCCTTGATCTTGGACTTTCTGGCCTCCACACTTACGATCAGATAAATTCAGCTGTCTAAGTCATCCAACAATGTATTTTATTAGGGCAGACCTAGTAAACCAATAAAGCAACATGCCTGTATCTGTATAGAAAAAAAAAAACAATGTAGAATAATGGCCCATCATAGAGTAAGGATTTGGGAAAAACTACAGACAGATGTCTATGTAGATCTATACACACATACTTCATTAAAAGATCTATTTGCAGATAAAGTATACTTAAAGTATATACTAAGTATGCTTAAAAAACAATGTAGCATTTTTCACTAGCTACCTTTTGATAATTCTATTCTTAAATATGATGTCAAGTATTTCATAATTGCAGCAATGTACTTTTTTATTTTTATTTTTTTTGATTGGTCGTGAGGCTTGAACTCTGGGCCTGGGGAACTGTTCCTCAACTCTTCAGCTCAAGGTAAGTGCTCTACCACTTGAGCCACAGTGTCACTTCTGATTTTTTGGTGGTTAATTGGGGGTAAGAATCTCATGGATTTTCCTGCCCAGGCTGGCTTTTGAACACTGATCCTCAGATCTCAGCCTCCTGAGTAGCTAGGATGACAGGTGTGAGCCATGGGCACATGGCTTTTTTTTTTTTAACTGTATTCTTCTGTACTTTTTTGGTACTGGGGCTCAAACCTAGCATGTTGCCCTTGCTAGCCAAACATCGTAGCAGAGCTACAATCTCAGTCGCATTGCCTGTGTGTGTCTGTTGTGGCTTGAACTTGGGAGTTGGGTGCTGTTCCTAAGCTTTTTTTTTTTTGTCGGTCGTGGGGCTTGAACTCTGGGCCTGGGCGCTGTCCCTCAGCTCTTCAGCTCAAGGCAAGCGCTCTACCACTTTGAGCTACAGCCCCACTTCCGGTTTTGTGGTGGTTTATTGGAGATAGGAGTCTCATGGTCTCTCCTGCCCGGGCTGGCTTTGAACCGTGATCCTCAGATCTCAGCCTGCAGAGTAGCTAGGATTACAGGCGTGAGCCACCAGCGCCCGGCTTCCTAAGCTCTTTTGCTCAAGGCTAATAATGCTCTACCACTTTGAACCATAGCTCCTCTTCCCCCATTGCTTTTCTTTCTTTTTTTTTTTTACAACCAGTCCTCTATGGGAGACATGCCATGCCACATTCTCAGCAGTGATACCTTAGACTTTACCTGGACAGTCTCAAAACTAGAACTGGATTTTTTTTTCTACAGAAAAAGGCCTGTTATTGTATTTTTAGCTTGTCAAAGATGGATTTTTTTTAAATGTAGCTTTTCGGACAGAACGAGGAAAAACACAATCCTATTAGGCATTATACCACCGTTTTTCACCTCTCTGTTCACACTGATCGAGTTCCTATTGCTGTTGTCAGTAGTTAGATGGTCTATTGGGAAGAAATCAGAGGTGATTGACAGACAACCTTGGCCCTTCTAGCAATCCGTCTGTGGTAGCTGTAGGGACTCACAATGACAATACTACATCGATCAATGGCTTCTCTTGGCTAACTTTCCATATACTCCTATCAGATGATCATTCGCATATGGACATAATGTTCCCAACTTCTTCCGGAGGGAAAAACAACCCGCGGGGCCTTTTCGAGAACCCGCTCATTTCTCTCATTCTGGAATCTTACACCCATCTCCCTGAAATAGCGAGTCCACAGGGAGAGTTGGGGCTCTCCAGAAGGCTCCCCGGCTTCGGATAGGGGCTGCAGCGTGCGCCGTGCGCGCTCCGGGGGGGCCTCGACGTGGCGGGCCGCGGCTCACAGGGGGTCACAGGGCGCGCACTGCACCTCGGCCTCCTGCGGCCCAGCAACCCCGGACTCTCACCTCGGCCTCGTTCTCCCATTTCCCCATCCGCCCGTCCGCAGGTGAGCGGGTGGATGGCTGCGGGCTGACCACGCCACGGGGGTCGCGTCCAGTCCCTTTCTTTCCGAGTGTTAGCTTCAAATGGCGGGCTTCGTGCCAAGGCCCTTCCCTTCCCGCCTCATCTCCCGGGGTACCGTCTGCCCTCCCCACCCTGGGGCCACCGGGGGCCTTCCCACACGTGGAGCCTCAGGACCCGCCCTCCCCCCTCCGCTGAAGCCCCAGGACCCCGGCCCCCCTCAATCCCTCCCCAGGACCGCGTCCCCTCGCCCCCCAGGACCCCGGCCCCCCTCAATCCCTCCCCAGGACCCCATCCCCTCGCCCCCCAGGACCCCGGCCCCCCTCAATCCCTCCCCAGGACCGCGTCCCCTCGTCCCCCAGGACCCCGG